TTTGAACTTATATATATATATATATATATATATATATATATATATACACATGGTCTATGTGTGAGTGCATACATATAACTTGATTTGCTTGACTTTAGATAGTAGTAATCTTATATTCATATGTACTGCATTACACTGTAAAAAGTGATAGATCAAATATCGGTTAAAAGAAAAAGCATTCAGGATCCGGTACTTTTTACATTAAGATCCATTGCTATTGGAACTTTTTAGGAAACCAAAAATGTGATTTAACTTAATTTTTACAGTAATAATTATTGTAAAATCACTGAATCACTGTAATGAAATAAATATTACTGTAAAAATTGCTGCTTAATATTTTACGGTAAAAATTGATTTTAAGGTAAAACGGATTTTACAGATGATACACCTAAAGTGCTTTTGCTTTATACCGTAATTTGGTACCGAATTGTTTACAGTGTACTTGTGCTTTATATCTATAAATAACTTGCGTATAAATAATATTTTATGCATAATAATTAAATATGACTCCTTTTGGAATTTTTTATAGGTATTTTTTGTACTAAGAAAGAAAAACTATTTGATTACAAACTTGCACGTTATTCATCATTCATCTTTGCCAATTTTGTGCTGGATATTTCTGAGAACTGAAACAAGTAAGAGTTTCTACTATAGTTATTAACCGCATTTTAATGATTGATGTTTAAACTTGGGAAAACTAAGTCTTTCATATTCTTTGTAAAGTGCATGTAAAAACACTTAGTTTTCCAATTAGATGTGCAGTGCACCAAAAAGAAAAACGGACCACCCTGAATAAATTTTGATCGAATGATCGGATCTTCACGTTCTAGGACTCAATATTAATGGTTTGAGGGGGTGATCAGGAATATTCTAATTAATTAGTGCAGGCTAAAATATTTTAAGTTACGAAATCGGACATAAAAACGTACTTTCTCTAAATAAACATACCTTTTTTTGAATGGATTCGGATTTTTGACCCCCAAAATAAAGGGGTCGAATCATAATCTCGGACATATGATCCCCATAGTTTGGTAAAGAGAGCCGTAAAAAATTCAAACTCCTCAATGTTAATTTTATTTCTTGCTTATTTCGCCATATTTCGGGAACCTTTTAAGCGAATTAAAAAAGTTATATCTTTAAAATTCGATTTCTCAGTAACTATTCAACTAATTTCGCCCAAATTTTGTATTTTGCCATGAAAAATTAAGTACTTCAAAATGACGTAAAAAAATTGTATACCTTACAATAAAATGTTTTTCGACTATTATTAAATAAAATAATAAAAAATAATAATTTGTTTCTGAATAAACGAATTTTCTAGTTGCGTACAAAATTTTTTCAATTTGCTTTAGAAAATCTCGAGATATATCGAAATACGCAAAAAGTAAAATTAATAATAAGGGGTCCAAACTTTTGGATTGCTATCCTGATCAAACTATGGGTACCATATTTCCCAGATTGCGACTACCTCAATATTTTGGGGGTCAAAAATCTGAAGTCATCGAAAAAAGGTATGTTTATTCCGAGAAAGTACGTTTTTGTGTCTTATTACATAATTTAAAATATTAAAGCACTGGAAAAGTATGCATGCAGATTTTGTGTGAAAATTCGTTAAATTTAATTCTGTGTTAAAAAAAACATTATTGTAAAACAACTTTGTGTTCATGACAGAAAATGAATGGATATTTTTTTGTTGTTGATATTTTTGAATTAAAACTTTCTTTATTATTGGCGTAGTTTGAACAAAATCTGAAAACTGGTTTTAACGTTCTTTTTATATATAAAAAATATCACGGTAGAGTTTTTCATACAAGGAGAAAGAAATTTTAAGAAAATGATTTATATTTTTGCTTAAATTAACTTTAACTTTAACTTACATTACCTTTTGAATTATCATTAACATTAACATTGAATATCTTTAACATTAACTTTTGAATTTTTATTTTGTATTAGAAATATATTAAACTGAGCTATGAATAATGTTCTACTAGTGTTCTGAGTAGTTGCTATTTGTTGCGTATATCATTATTAAAATTATTTTAGTAATAAATAATTATAAGTACTGCATATATTTTAAGAACAACATGTATATTTGTATTATATATATTTTATGTATAATTACATGCGAAATAGTATCAGATATATTTAATGTAAAATAAGCCACAAACTAATAACTTCTGATCCAAAAATCTGATATTTAAGTACTAAAGTAATAATCTTAATGGTTCAAAACATTATTAATTAGTACTAGTACGCTAACCAATCAGTGGTTACGATTAATTTATTTAAGGAATCGGACACAAAAATTTAATTTCTCAAAAAAAATTTTTTTTAGACTTATTTGGCTTTTTGACAGTTAAAATATGGAAGGTCGCCACAATCTAGAAAATATGGTTTTAATTATTTACAACTATTCCTACAAGGAAGCTGTCGAAAATTTGGGTCCCTTAATCTAATTATTTTTTGCCTATTTTATCACATCTAGGGCACAGTTTAACCGAATTGGGAAGTTTTTTTCGCATAATTACAAAAATTCGTTTATCTAAAGATCATGAAAAAATATTTTTCAATAATTATTATTTTGTTTTAAATAATATTTAAAGATTGAATTTATATTTAATTTGATTATTCAAAAAAATTCCATTAAGATATAAACTTTAAAAAATTTTTGTATAAGATTATATTATATAAATATTATTTCGCTCACANTCTTAAACTACCCCACAGAAGAGGATTATTTGTATTCTTTTAATGCCATAGAAATAACAAAAACTATTCAAGCACACCATGAAATATGATTCAATAGAGGATACGACACCAACCAACCATTCTTTTGCTCACATTTTGAATTATAACTGGAAAAATTAAAAACAAGCGGTTGAAGAGTTCTTGAGTTACATTCGAGTTCTATTCAAAAAATCTTCGACCGATTTTTTTCAAACTTAAGGTATGAAAAATCATTAAAAGTTATGCAATTTAAAATTATGAAAGAATTTGTATACCTTTTAATTCAAAACATTATTTACCCTATTGTATAAAATTAATATATATTTATTAACACTATTTTTTGCATTTATTTATGTTTGGATAAAGGAATTTTATAATTTCATATAATATAGATTCGCTTAATAAAAGATCCCGAAATATTGCGAAATTCTCGTAAGTCCCAAACCTCTCAATGGTCTTCTGACTAAATTATTGCACTCTAAAAAATTCCAGATCAAATTACGGCATAAAGCACTACCACTTTGTGTGCATCATCTGTAAAATCCATTTTTACCTTAAAATATTACGTAATTTTTACAGTAATATTTATTTAGTTAGAGTGATTCAATGATTTTACGGTAAGTAATAATGTAAAAATTACGGTACTTTTCTTTTGTTCCGTAACATATTTCTGTAAAAATGGATTTTACTGTAAAAAAACCGGCATCCTGAGTGTCACTACACTTTGCCGTTTTGACCCGGAATTTCTTACAGTGTGGATAAATATAGATGAATACTTGGGTAAAAAACTATTCGACAAGAATAAAATTTTAAAATTCAGAAATCTAAATTGGAAAAATTAGATTTCAGTTTGTTTTAGACATTCATATCACTACTAATAAGATGTGACATTTTTAAATCTTAATTTAATATATTAATTTTGTTCTTGAATTTTTCAGGTGGATTTCAATTTATTCCGGCTGTTATCAATGCTTTTGTGCACATTATAATGTATACGTATTATGGACTTGCAGCAATGGGGCCAAAATATCAAAAATATCTTTGGTGGAAACAGTATTTGACTAAAATTCAAATGGTACTTACTTATTTTAATTTATTTCTTAATAATTAAGAAATGAATGCTATAAAATTCGTTAATTTTTCTTTAAAGAATCTTAAAAGCAGTAACTGGTAGAGTTTTTTCTTTCGTTTCACAATATATTCTCAGTTGTACAGTGCACCAAAAAAAAAGGATCAATCTGAATAACTTTTGATCTTACAATCAGATCTTTACGTTCTAGGACACAATGTTAATGGTTCGAGATGGTGACGGTGATTTCAAATATGCCTATTAATTAGTGCAGACGGTATTTTAAGTTTCAAAATCGCACTAAATATCGGACTAAGACTTAATTATATGATCTTTCGATTTCGATTTACGAGGAACTATTCAACCGATGTAGCTAAATTTTTCTATTTTACCATGCAAAATTACAGGCTTTAAAACTGTAAAAATTGAATGCCTTACACTTCATATTTTCGTCGATTATTACATAAAATAATAAAAACTAATAAATATTCGCTGTTTTTTTCGCATGGAATTATCTTCGGATAAACGAATTCTATAATTCTATGTGAAAATTTTTCAATTCACTTAAAAAGTTTTCGAGATATGGTGAAATACGCAAAAAAATAAAATGGACGTAATGAGGTAAAACTTTTTGATCGCTCTTCTGACCAAAAAAAGGGGTGTGATAAATAATAAAAATAAAACTGAATAGTGAATTTAACCGAATTAATTATTTTTATGCCAAACTCCAAGGCATCACGATAAAATTAAGAAGTTTCCCCACATTTACCATATTTTATCACACATTATTTAACTATATTTTAAAAACTATTACTAAAGTGTTTCGGTAAAAACTATTGAGTCTCTTGGTGTTCCCATAGGGGTAAACACGATAGGTTTTATCATATTCTGGTAGTTTTGACCAATTTTTTTTTTGTCTCAGGGTGTGTTTCAATTATCTTTTTTCAATTTTTTCTTCTTTCAGAATTTTTTAAATTAAGTTTTAGAAGCACTTCTTACAAATTAAAATAATTTAAGGTCGTTTGAAGAAGTATGGAAAACAATGTTTCGTTGTTTTATTTTAAATGTAAGCACTGAGCAGTTTCAATATTTTGCACACAAGGCTTTTTTTTGGCTTTACTGAGATTATTAATCTAGTTTTTATTTTTTGATTTCCCTAAAAATTTAATCATTCCTATATTTTGCAATATGTAATCCGTATTAATATTAAATATTAAATAATAATATAAAATAATAAATAAAAAATGATAAATATTAAATAACATTTTTTAACTCCCAAACTTTCAAAAGAAGCTGTAGCGCTGTTGGATGAAAAAGCAATTGAAAAATGAAGCTTGCAAATGCATAAAAGTGGAAAATGGTTAAGTATTAAAAAATGACAAATAAATTACTGTCGGTACAGAAGACACTGCCCGGTATACTTTACACTGTACCTGTACTGACCGTTGAGGTAAAGGGCTGCCTTTGTGGTACTTATTTCTCTCAATACGACTTGGGGATTTTATTTTCTTGAACAAAACAGTACCATGCTATTTTTATATTTCATGAATCTTGAATTAAACACTCAGTACAGCGTAGATGCTAAGGTTAGATGCTTAATGGAAGCTTAATAGGTTGANAACTAATCAAAATTTTTGAAAAAGAAAAAAAATACTTCTTCATTATGTCAAAACACAATTATGGGCCGAGTTTCGTGCCTGGGCGAGGCTTCTGGGGCGATATATTGTGATTACAGACACACACACACAGCCGCGTTTATTATTATGTATAGATGTAAGCACTGAGCAGTTTCAATATTTTGCACACAAGGCTTTTTTTTGGCTTTATTGAGATTATTAATCTAGTTTTTATTTCTTAATTACCCTAAAAATTTAAGCATTCATATATTTTGAAATATGTAATCCGTATTAATATTAAATAATAATATAGAATGGTAAATAAAAAATAATAAATATTAAATAATATTTTTTAACTCCCAAACTTTCAAAAGGAGCTGTAGTGATGTTGGATGAAAAAGCAATTTAAAAAATAAGCTTGCAAATGCATAAAAGTGGAAAATGGTTAAGTATTAAAAAATGACAAATTAATTACTGTCGGAACTGAAGACACTGCCCGGTATACTTTACACTGATGCATTTTCAAGAATAAGTGCTACTGTCGGGTATACACTTGCCTGTTAAACTCTACACTGAGAAATTTTAAAGGTTAAGTGCCACTGCCCGGTATATTCTACACTGATGTGCTTTAAGGTTTAGGGCCGCTACCGGATATACACTTGTTTAGTATACTCTACACTGAAAAAATTTGTAAGGCTAAGTGCCACTGTCCGGTATATTCTACACTGATGTGCTTTAAGGTTTAGGGCCGCTACCGTATATACACTTGTTTAATATACTCTACACTGAGAAATTTGTAAGGTTAAGTGCCACTGCCCGTTATATTCTACACTGATGTGCTTTAAGGTTTAGGGCCGCTACCGGATATACACTTGTTTAGTATACTCTACACTGAGAAAATTTTTAAGTTTAAGTGCCACTGCCCGGTGTATTCTACACTGATGTGCTTTAAGGTTTAAGACCGCTACCGTATATACACTTGTTTAGTATGCTCTACACTGAGAAATTTGTAAGATTAAGTGCCACTGCCCGGTATATTCTACACTGATGTGCTTTAAGGTTTAGGGCCGCTACCGTATATACACTTGTTTAGTATACTCTACACTGAGAAATTTGTAAGGCTAAGTGCCACTGCCCAGTATATTCTGCACTGATGTGCTTTAAGGTTTAGGGCCGCTACCGGATATACACTTGTTTAGTATACTCTACACTGAGAAAATTTTTAAGTTTAAGTGCCACTGCCCGGTGTATTCTACACTGATGTGCTTTAAGGTTTAGGGCCGCTACCGTATATACACTTGTTTAGTATACTCTACACTGAGAAATTTGTAAGGCTAAGTGCCACTGCCCGGTATATTCTGCACTGATGTGCTTTAAGGTTTAGGGCCGCTACCGGATATACACTTGTTTAGTATACTCTACACTGAGAAAAGTTTTAAGTTTAAGTGTCACTGCCCGGTGTATTCTACACTGATGTGCTTTAAGGTTTAGGGCCGCTACCGTATATACACTTGTTTAGTATACTCTACACTGAGAAATTTCATACACGACATATCTTGCACTGATGTTTTGTAAAGTTATGTGCCACTATCCAGTATACCCTACATTAATGTTTTTTAAGGATAAGTGCTACTGCCCGGTACATCCTACATTAATGATTTTTAAGGTTAACTACCACTGCCTGGTATACCTTACACTGATGTTTTAAAGGTTAAGAACCACTGCCCGACGTACTTTACAATGATTATTTTAAGATTAAATGCCATATTCCCTATACTGACCGTTGAGGTAAAGGGCTGCGTTTGCGGTACTTATTTCTCTCAATACGACTTGGGGATTTTATTTTCTTGAACAAAACAGTACCATGCTATTTTTATATTTCATGAATCTTGAATTAAACACTCAGTACAGCGTAGATGCTAAGGTTAGATGCTTAATGGAAGCTTAATAGGTTGAGAACTTTCAGTTCATAGACTATTAGTAAGACAAAACAAAGGCAAAGTAAAGCAATTTTAGACAAAGCAGTTTTTGAAATTTTGAAGATAAATAATAGTTTGAAAGTAAATGATAGTTTGAAAGAAAGAACAATGATACATTGAATTGTACTTAAAAATAATTCAAAACTTTGATTTCTATTATTTTAAAGGTTTTGTTAAATTATAGAAAATAGTTCTGTATAAATAAATCTTCAGTTGACTATTCGGTGTTTAAAAAATAGAACTATGCATTCTTATATATTGTTTTCTCATTTCAGTTGCAATTCATCGTGGTCTTAATTTTTGTATTGGTTATTATTCCTCTTACTGGCTGCAAAACATCTCAACATGCAATATACATCGATATATTTTTCGCCATCCTCTTCCTCGGCCTCTTCTACAATTTCTACACAAAAACCTACAGAAAACCTCTGCACACCAACGGCAAAGTTGAAATGAACGGAAATATTATTCACGCAAAGGAAAACGGTGGATCAAAGAATGCAATCAACAGAAATAAAGTCAACGAAGATGAAATCAGCCAAAGTAAATGTGATCGAAGAAAAGTAGTGGAAAGCTCGAGTTCCTGAAAAATGAAATGAATGTTGTTTTGCGTCATTATGAAAAAATTTAGCGACAAACGATAGGGACCTTTTCATTTCGACCAAATATAATGAACTCTATGATTGATTTCATTCTGATGTGATTGTATGTGACTTTTTAATAGGAATATGTTAGAACTTATGATAAATGTGCCCCAAATATCACTCTCCAATCCAGCTGAGATTTGCTACACAATGAGACTATATATATATATATATATATACATATAAACATCCCACTAGTTTTTTATATGTACCTAACTGTTTTGACACATTTTTTATACAATTTGACTAAGTTTATCTTTAAATATCCTGTTTTTGAAACTAATATTTTAATGTTTCAAGCTAATTTGCCATTTCGATAGCAGCATTCTTGGCAGCTCCCAGGCAGAAGCCTGCAAAAAAAATCTCAAAAGGGGATTAATTGAAAGAGTCAAACAAGTTTTTTCATAAAAACCTAGTTTAAAATATATTTGGTGCTATGGCGATTGTATTGTCGCGACAGATCACGATACAGAAAAACCATATTTTACAGTACAATCAATTTTAAAGCAAATAATTGGTTTACTTATGAAGCAAAATTGTGCAAACAGTCACCCCTTGAAGCTCTAAAAAATTTATAGTACGAAAATTAGCGACTGAAAATAAAAATTTTACATCAAAGAAATGAAGACGGAAATAAGAAATGTAGAGAATATCAATTAATAAAAGGACTGGANTATATATATATGTTTTAAAGTTAAATCAAACCGATATTCCTTACCTTGCTATTTTTTGACATCTTTTAAGGCTAAAAGCAATTTATAGCTATTTATAGTGCTTTTTTTTAACGGTTAATGACCATTACCCGGAAAAAATAATGTGCGTAGTACACATTGGCTTCGGATTTAATCGATTAGAATCGATCAAATCCAGTTTTACCCAGAAAAAAGTTTAAGCATTGCAGATTTCTCAGGCTTTAACCAACTAGACTTGGTAATCCCGAATTTCAACCGGTTGAAAGTAGATTTGTCTTTCCTTCTTATTTTGTCTGTAGCGTATTAATTAAAATATGAAGATGAAAAAATTATCGATTTCTCCTTAAATAAGGAAATAAAAATTATCAGAAAAGTAAGTTTGAATGAAAAAAGAATTGGAAAATTTGATCAAATTTGAGAAAACTAAATCAGAGTCAAGAAATTAATTTCTTTAAAGAAGTAGCTAGATTATTATTATTTGTTTTCTGTTAATTGAAATTGTAATTTGTATTGTAAATAATATTTGGTGCGAGGCCCAAGAGCTAAGTGGTGTATTTTGCACTACTGACTCAAACCCGAGTTTCTATCCTTCGGACCGAACAAAATTAACTCAGCTTTTCATCCCTTCAGAGGATAAAAATCAAACATGCTTGTGGACAAAGCAAAGGACTGACTAATCAACCAGAACATCTGCTCCTGCTCCTCGAGGTTGATGAAACTCAGCCGGGCTTAGTAGACCATGGCTCTCCGTGGCCTGTCGCATCACTGAATTAGTTTAACATTTGAAACACAAAGTTTTCTTTTCAAAATTAGCTTCCTTTTTATAAATACAAACTAGAAAAATGATTGTAAAAGTGTGTCCGTATTATTATGTTAAAAATGTTTTCTTTCTTTCTTTCTCACTTATCAAAATAATAGTAAGTTTTAAATCAATAAGTTTCAAGCTAAAAATTGATTTATAACAATAATTTATTATTTGAGAAAAGTTTGAAATTTAATTTATCATAGCCTTAATAGGAAGCAGCTAAAGGGAATTTAATTTATAATGAAAGCAGCTTTTTTCAGCCTAAAAACCTATTTATAGACCTATAAAACTATAGAAAATTTCAGCCTGATTGGCGAATGATACTTTGGTTGCCTGTATGTAAAATTTCCTACTTTTCTGTTAAATGTGTTTTTCAATGAAAAAAATCTTTTAATAGAATTTAAATTTTATATAAATGTAATGTTGCACAATGGATGGTGTTTTTAATACAAAAATAAGCGCAAATGAATGCTTTTTTAATGCTTATCGCAGTTTTAGATTGATAACAATTTTGAGATTTTTCGAGCTCAGCCATTTACGAAACAAACCAAAAGTAATAAAAAAAGAAGCTTAACATTTAAAATTGAACAAAAATTTTATTCAAAAATTTCAGATGAACGTTATCATTAGTTCTAAGTTCATTTTAAGTGCATGTTCGCGGATGTTCGCATTCTGAGTGCAGCATCCGCGAAACCCATTTTACCATAAAATTTGATACCGTAGTTTTTTTCTAGTAATATTTATTTTATTATAGTGATTCGGTTAATATTAATATTACTGTAAAAATTACGGTATATCAGATTTTTGTTCTATGCAATTTTGCTGCAATATTGGATTCTACAGTAAAAAGTATTGGTACTCGGGGTACCAATACTTTTTTTACCTCAATTTTATCTCGAACTTTTTACAGTGCATAGATACGGATTAACAATTGGATAGTTTTTTTATCGACTTAGAATTTCAAGAGCATTTTCTTGAACGAAAATGTCTATGAAATTTTGTGATTTTTTTTTCCCTTTTTAAGATAAATTTTTTACGCAAATAGTTTATTATAATCACTCCTTAATAACTATCCAAAATATATTGTCGACTGCGTTGCATGAGTAGTTGTTTTATCAATATGTAGAAATTTAATATATAGCTATTTTAATTATCATATGTCTTAAAATTACCATAAAATCATTAAATGTGTATTATTTTTAAAAATAGTCGTTTAACTTCAGAAAATATATCAATGACGAGTTCATAATTCATTCCATTGACGAGTTCATAGTTCATAGTTCATAATTCAATGACGAGACAATTCATAGAAACCTATACTTAACGAAACTCATACTTTTAAATATAAAATTGACTAACTATTCACAGGAATTTATATTTAAAGAAACTCACCCTGTTGGATATAAAATTGACTAACTATTCATAGGAATTTATACTGAAAGGAACTCATCCTTTTGAATATAAAATTGACTGACTATGCATAGGAATCTATACAGAGAAACTCATCCTTTTGAATATAAAATCGATTAATTTTTCATACTTAAAAAAATCATCTTTTTCAGTGAATATAAGTTTGAATATAAATTTGACAGTTTTAAGTTTCAAAACAAGCTATGTAGGTGTTTAGAAAATATTGCTGCTTTCTTTTGTACCCCATTCTTTTTTTAATGAATAAAGTAAACTGTTAAAAATTTGTAACGCATTCATAAAATGTATTGATGATAAAATAAAGCTTAGAATTGCTTTTAAATAAGATTAATCAGTTTCTTCTTCAACATTTTATCAACTTTAAAAAAAACTTAAAGCGCTATCTACGTGAATGTATCAAGTACATTATCCTTGGCTTTGAGTATACTTAATTATTTACATCATACTTTTATTTAGTTCGTACAAAAGGGGTGTAGCGTTTGATACTGCATCTAATTTCCTTTTTTCCTTTTCATCTTTTTAATTAAAAAAAACTATTTTTTTAAACTATTTACATGTTTGTATTGTGTATTCTGCATTCCTATGTGCATTTTTACATTATTATTATTATTTTTATTTTTCGATTTCGGGTGTGCATATATTTTTATTACTTCATGTTCTTGTCTGCAAATAATAAAAAAAATAGCAGTTTTGTACTGAAATATGTTTTTTCCAATGGGTATTTACGACGTTTGCAATCAAAATTTATTTTATAATTAAAAGCCTTAGTTCCTAAAGAATTCTATCTAAATTTGTACCTGTATTTGTAAACCTGAAACAGTTGCCTTAACTAAATATTGAATGTTAAAGTTTCTTTAAATGATTTTATTTTTATAAATATTTTTGTCAGTTATTTATACAAAGAAAAGTGTCCTTTATATTTTAGATTTATTTAAAATGTAGATTGTTTTTTCTCTCTGTTATTACATGATATATGATGAGTATGTATTCTTTTTGTTTTTTATCCAAATAAAAAGAAAACTCCTGTGTAAACAAACATTTTGAAACCGCAGGTTTGTTCTTACGGAACTATATTATTAATTGAATGGCTATAATAATATAATGACAAACGAAAATCTTGAAAAATGACAAGTCAGACAAAAATCATAAAGTACCACAGTTGATCTATACTTTCAAACATAATCATCTTAATCGTAAATAAACACAATTGAGATGAAAGTTTAAGAGATGAAAAAAAAACACAAAAAATATATTGTAAAAAAAAATTGCTGTTTAGTTTCCACCGTTCAGATAATCGCATTTTTTATTTTGTTTTTCACTATAATAGTTTTATTCATTCATATAAAACACACATTTTCATGCGCATTAGCATCAACTGATGGCAACAGCCTTTTGTTTAAAATGCAAGCACAGTTTTGCTAATACATTCGCACTAATTCTTTCCAACAATTGTTGTTTTGTCTATTTTATATATATATATTTTTTTTGCGCGATAACTACAATTCTGTACTTAAAAATGCATTCAGCTTTCCTCAGCACAGAAAATCGTGAAAAATTTGTACACTCAAATTTTACAAAATTCATTATTTTGTACGTACAAAATTTGTATATCCCAGCAATGAAACAAATATTGATGTTTTTTTACACCCACTTTTTACAACATTAATTTTCCAAAATTCGATATCCTTTTTGTTTTATCCTCGATTAAATAGTAATTTGGAACAACCCCCCCCCCCCAATTTATGTACTTCTTCTAAAGACTGTTATGGTCATTGTAGAATAACCCGTTTTTGAAATAATAGAGTATTATATTTTTAAAAAAACTTTATACCTTGTAAGTTTTTTTAAAAATATTTTTATTATTTCTCTCTATTTATCTGAAATAACAAGATAAATAACTAAACATATAGGAAAAAATAGCCTTTTGATATTTTAAAATAACGAGGTTAATATAGCTTGTTAAATTAAAGCCGTGAAAATAAAATTATAAGCAAAACTGAAAATAGTTTTCCTCTAGTTGTAGAATTTCAATTATTATAAATTAATTAGCAACATGGCTCGTTATTCAAATAAAGTATAAATTCAAGGTATGATAATAGCTTGATGAGTTTAAGAAGGAAAGTGTAACTGTACAATATGTATCCAGCGTTAGAAGTAATTT